CTGAAATAATTCCTCGGGGGGACGGCGGCGGGAGTACGAGGAGTACGAGGAGCAAGACGGCCCGAGAGAGGCCTCAAGACTCCCGGCGGACAATCCAGATCTCGAAGACAGCCGTGGGACAATCTGAAAGTACCGCAGAACGCCACCCCGAGGACAAACAGAAACAGGAGCTCCGCACGACGGCCATCGAAAAAAAACCTCTCTGATGGGTGCCATCGACAAAACATCGATCGCATCCCCGCCGGCTCTCGACACCCCGCTCCCGAGACTCCCGGAGGCCCCCTCGCAGTCCCCGAAGGCTCCCCGCCGACGCCTCGCCCCATGCCTCGGCCCCAAAGCGCACGCGCCGCCCCCTGGGGTCCGGGACGGGTCCTGCGCACCTCGCGGGGCGGCGCCGGGCAGTGCCGAGGCACGCCCAGAGCACCGACGGCGTTGCTCGGCACCCGTGTTCCGAAATCTGCACTCCTTCTTGGGAAATCAAGAGGTACCGATGCCGCTGCTCCCCGGACCTCTCCCAGGGTGCGTTCGGGCCAGGGTTTCGAGGCGAGTCCGACGGTGGTGACGAGGGCCTCCGAGGAGGCCCAAAAAGAAGTGGAAAACGAGGAAAGGGTGAAGGTATGGGTACCTTTTCCTCCTCTGACTTCCGGGCAACAGGAAAACTACAGTCTAAGCAGCCTCGGCAAGGGTAAACTTCGCAAAGCAGGGGGCGCGGCGGGGGCCGATGATGGCTTCCCACGGTGATGCCCCGCAGAACGCGACCCCCTTCAGACCGAGCATTGAGGCTCGAAGTGCGCTTACCCGTGATGTGTGCTCTCGTGTGCCTCCGCAGGCCCCCAGAAGCGTATGGGGACCTCTCGAGGCATACCAACGATCTCGTCGTCGACACAGTTTCGTCGTCGTTGTGGCCGCCGTTATTCGTCGCCACCATCGTTGCTGTCGCTGGCGTTGGCGTCGTCGTCGTCGTCGCTCGTCGTGGTCGTCGTCGTGGTCGTCGTCGTCGTCGTCGGCGTCGGCGTCGTCATCGTCGTCGTCGCCGCCATCGTCGTCGTCGTCGTCGTCGGCGTCGTCATTGTCGTCGTCGTCGGCGTCGGCGTCGCGCCTCGGGCCCGGCGGCAAGCAGCGGGGGCTGCCGCGGAGCAGCGGAGCCGTCCGCCCCGCCGCCGGCAGGCCAGCCCGAGAGGAACTGCCGCACGCGCGGCGGGAGCAGGGCGACGAACTCCCCTGCGGGGCCGAGTCTCCAGCCGATGCGCGCGTGCTTCTCGACGCTCCGAAGCCACCTCTGCCGGCGCCAGGGCAGCCGCCAGTCCGCCCGCTCCACCATGCGCGCCACGTCCTCGTTCGTGACGAACAGGCACGAATGGTCCTCTGCCGCCTTCAGCACGTCGATGACCGTGTCGTGCTGGAGGGCGCGCACGTGCAGCAGGGCGCCGGGATCTATGGGCGCCCCGCCGCCTGGGCCAGCGGCGAGGGCGGCGTGGAGGTCCTGGCGGCTCACCACGATCACCTTCAGCCCAGCCTCGGCGGCGCACTGGGGGGGGGGGGCCTCCTGATAGCGCAGGGCGAGCTTCTCATCTCGCACCAAAGCATCCGACGCAGTGTTCTGTTCAATGCGCGCGGCTCCAGGGGCCCCGATCCCTGTCCCGGCGTCGGCTTTCGAACCCGCATCCATGTCTAACGGCCCCCGGGCCTGACAGCTTGCTCCAAAGACCCGAATTTGGGAGATCTATGTATGGGCGGCGCCTCGGATCCGAGTTGCAGGCAAACTACGCAGGGACACAGGCGGAGCTAATTGCAGCACACGGGAATAGGGGAGGCAAGTGGCTGTCGCTGTCGTCGTCGGCGTCGCTGTCGTCGTCGGCGTCGCTGTCGTTGTCAAGTGCCATTTGGTACCCACCGTCACGGTCTTAAGAGATTTTGCAAACCAAGTTGTGGGTGGGTGGGTGGGATGTTTGCGCGAGCAGTGGAGTGGACAGCTCACTGCGAACAGAAATCAATTGCACCACTTAGACTCCACCACAAAGCTTGCACAACAGATGCTAATCGCAAAGATTGCGCCACACGAATCGCACCACGCCACGTCAACGACATTGGAATGCACAAGATAAATTGCACTACAAAAATTCCACATACTTACATACATACCTACATACATACATACATGCATGCATGCATACCTACATACATACGGACACATACATACATGCATACATACATACATAATGTTGGCATACAGGCATACTACAGATATACGGACATACAGACCGACAGACCTACAGACATGCGTACATACATACATGCCTAAATACATACTACAAATGTATCCAGACGTTCATAAATATACACTATCGCAACGCAAAGCATGTATCAATGTGCGTGCCCACCTTCAGGGACGAATTGTCGACACCGTCACGATGCGCTAAGCCGGGTCCCGCTTAGGCGAATTGCCACCTGGCGTAGCAGCCAGGAGTGGACCGAAGGGGGGCGATGACTTGCAGAAACACCGTCGCGGCGGACGCACGCAACGGTGGTCACAGCGACCACGCAACGCAGAAAGCAAACGTCCCTGACTGATCAGACGGAGGTGGCGGCTAGAGATGCGCGGCCGAAATCCCACGCGTACCACCGCAGCCCATCTGTTAAGGGACGCGCCGCCTTACCAACGACACGGCCCAGGCGGGTGAGGGCCGAGGGCGAGCCCGCCGCGCCGCGGGCCGAACCAGGCCGTTCACTCCCCGAGCTGGGCGGGGCAGGACAGCAAGCAAACTGGAACAAGGGGTGGAGAGCCTAGGCCAACGCCGGCGCGACTCCGCGCGAACACACACAAACACACACACACACGCACACACACACACTTTTTGGCGTCGCGGCCTGGCGCGCAGAGCCGAAGAGTAGAAGGTCGAAGAGCGGAAGGCGGCGAACACACACACACACACACACACGCACACACACACGCACACACACACACAGACACACACAGAAGCATCTCATATGAAGTTCGACCAGCGGACCAAACTAGCATAGGGAATGCCAGCGCATTGGCCCAAAGCGGTGGCGGTCATAAGCAAGTAGAAATGCTTCCCTCGGGGCCTTCCTTCAAAGTCCAAGGAATAAAAAAACTCATTCTGACCTGGATCGGACGTCACTCCATTTCATCTCCCAAAAGCCCCCACAAGTGATGACAAGTTCGCAGTTCGCGGCCCCCAGGTAGGAAGAGATATATACGGCAGCGCAGGAGGCAGGTAGGAGGCAGCATGTAAGAGACAAGAAGAGGGAGAAGGGAAGAGGCGGGAGGAGGAGGGAGGCACCAACGAAGTGTTCCAAAAGGGCCCCACAAGCCAGTCAAAGAGGCCCCGAAAACGGCCTCAGAGAATCCCGAGAAGGCGAAAGAGGGGTCCGAGAGGGAGAGCACGAACCAGCATTTCCAAATTCTTGCCCCGAGAAGCCCCTTCGCCCCAAGAAGCCCCCAGGCCTCCAAGAGGGCCCACAGGGCATCCAATGGAGCCCCAAGGGAGTCCTGGGCGAGCACCGCGAGGGCCCCAAGAGAGCCCCGAGGGAGCACCACGAGGGCCCCAAGAGAGCCCCGGAAGGCCCCACGAGGCCTCCGAGAGATCCCCACGAGGGCCCCACGAGGGCCCCAACGGACACCGCCACTGCGCGACTCCTTGGCGTGCGGATGTCCCCCCCTGGCAGGCCCGCCGCGCTCCCGCTCGGAGGCCTCAGCTTTGAGGCGGGCCCAACCGTGGCGCCGAGGCACCCAAGAGGCCCAGGAAGGGCTCCAAACCTGGACCGTCAGACCTCGATCATGGTGAGAAGGGGTGAATCAGTTCACATTTTGGGTCTCCTCCTCCTCCTCCTCCTCCTCCTCCTCCTCCTCCTCCTCCTAGTCCTCCTCCTCCTCCTCCTCCTCCTCCTCCTCCTCCTCCTCCTCCTCCTACTCCTCCTCCTCCTCCTCCTCCTCCTCCTCCTCCTCCTCCTACCCTCCTCCTCCTCCTCCTCCTCCTCTCAGTCCTCCTCCTCCTCCTCCTCCTCCCTCCTCCTCCTCCTCCTCCTCCTCCTCCTCCTCCTCCTCCTCCTCCTCAGTCCTCCTCTCCTCCTCCTCCTCCTCCTCCTCCTCCCTCCTCCTCCTCCTCCTCCTCCTCCTCCTCCTCCTCCTCCTCCTCCCCCTTCCTCGCCCGCCTCCTCCTCCTCCTCCTCCTCCTCCTCCTCTTTCCTCGCCCGCGTAGCCGCTTTCTCTCGCCGCCGACGGCCTGCTGGAGTTGGCGCACGGCACTCCGGAGCCTCCGGCCGTCCGGGCCCGGGCCGGGAGCGCCGCCCGCCGGCGGCCCGCCGACCGCGTCCGCGTCCAGCGCGCAGACGCCGAGGTTGAGGCCCTCCTCGGGGAGCGGGCATGGCGCCTCCTCCTCGGCAGGACGGCGGCGGAAGGAGCAGAGCCCCCCCCAGAGGGGGTCGGAGCAGGTGGGGTCGGAGGATCGCGCGGTGCCCTCCCAACGTCGTCTTGGTGCCACCCTACGTCCCAAGAGCCCCAGGAGAAGGAGGGGGAGGGGGAGGACGACGAGGAGGCGAGGGACGCGACACAAGGCCGCCTGAAGTAAGGCCTGCTCTCGCCACGATTTCACGAGGACCCTCCCCAAGCCCACTCCACCTCGGACGTCCCCGCGGGCCCGCCAAGAAGGCAGAAGGCCCCTTCGGGGAACGATCTGAAGCCAGCAAGCGCAAGAGTGCAAGAGCAGTGAAGACGCCAGTCGGGCTACGGGCGGGGCACGCCGGGAGCGAATTGGGGCTGTTGTGCATTGTGTTTGCTGGGGTCGGAGACCCCCCTGTGCAGGAGTAAGCATCGCATGGCATGACTGGAGCATCACTGACAGGTCCTCTTGGCTCAAGAAATGACAACAACATCATCAATCTAGCTACATGGTAGCGGAGCTCGGTTCCCACGCCACGGGAGCTGAGCTCGCGCGCCACGCGACCTCCCCGCCCGAGAGGGCTGCCTGTCAGCAGCGATGGCGGCGATCGAGGTGGTTGACGTGCGGACTGACATGCGGTTGCAGCGGTTCGACGGCACGGACGAGAAGTGGGGAGACTGGAGTCTCAGGTTCGAGGCCTACACCACGGCGGGCCAGAGGCAGAACCCGCTGCTGAACGACCAGTTTGACGAGCGCGCCAGGCAGGTCAGCCAGAGTCTGTGACACCTGCTGATCACGTATTGTGAGGGCAAGGCGATGGGAGTGGTTAAGCTCTCGCGCAAGAACGGTCTCGAGGCGTGGCGCCAGCTCAAGAATGAGTACGAGGGTCGTTCAGGGAATCGCCGGACGGCGATGCTGCGGTTCATCTTGAATCCGCAAGACAAATGGGCCAAGGATCGCGAGGCGCGCATCGACTTCTTTTAGTCGCTTACCACCTGGGAGGCAATCGTGGCCGAGTACGTGGATCAGAGCGGCGAAGCCGTTTCTGACAATGTCAGGGTGAGCGTGCTGCTAGAGCACGCGCCAGATCCATATCGTGAAGTGCTGCGACAGGCCCCCGATGAGGTGAAGCTGACGTTTGGTGCAGCTCGCAGTCACATCAGGGGCTACTACAATCAGGGAAGGACTTTCACTCACGTCCCAGACGTGGGCGGGGTCGTCCCGATGCAGGTGGATGCAGTCCGTGCCCAGCTTCCCAATGGCAAGGCTAGCGGCAAGGGCAAGACACACAAGTCGGACAAGTCAGGCGGGAAGTCGGGCAGAAACCAGAAGGGCAAGGACTCGAAGACCAAGTCGAAGGGTCGTGACGGCGGCAAGCACGGCAAGAACCAGACGGAGTACTGTGACGGCGAGTGCGGCTACTGCGGCAAGTGGGGCCACAATCGGGCAAGCTGCAGGAAGGGGAAGGCCGACGACCCGAAGAAGGAGCCAGGTCACACGCGAGCGGTTCAAGGCGACGCAGTTTCGTCATCAGGCCAGCAGCCATCGGATGGCACGGTGAAGGCGGCGTCGGGCCACTACGACGGCAAGCCCGACGGCTGGGTGTTCGCGGTCACGGCGCAGACGGACGGCAAGGCGGCGAAGGTTGGCGGCTCCATCCTGATCGACAGCGGCAGCGACGACCATCTCTGCAGGCACAGATTCGTCCCAGAGGCCCCCATCAGCGCTGCGGCGGACGCGCCGAGGCTCTTCGACGTGCAGCAGCGCCCACCACCGACGGCAGGCCTGAGAGGGGTAGAGATGACCATGAAGGAGGGCATCACGGCGACGGCGGACTTCCTGGTCGCCGACGTGAACGATGATCTGCTGAGCATGGGGAAGCTGCTCAGGCAGATCTTCAGGTTCAACCTCAGCCTGTGGGACGGGCTCTACATGACGAAGGGCCATCGCAGCGCGCAGCTCACGCTGGAGAGGAACAGCCTCTGGCTCCCGATTGTCGCGGCGGGCCCCGCAGCTGAGGCTCACCACTGCCGCGGCGCGGCAGAGCGGCAGGATGCGGCGACGGCTCCGTTGCTCAACGCGGACAGCTCGGTCGGCGCGATGAGGACCAGGCTGAGGGAGTTGTGCATGCCCATCTACGGTACCAAGGCGGAGCTTTGGGACAGGCTCATTGTGGCGGAGGCCGCGGCCAGGCGATCGGAGGCTGAGAGGGCGCACAAGCAGGCAGTCAAGGAGCAGCTCGGGATCCAGCACGACCCAGTCGATGCTAGTGAGGTACCCGTACCGAAGGCTCCGAGTGCTGAAGAGGAGAGGCAGCATCGCCTCACGCATCTGCCAGCCGCGCCCTGGCGCGAGGAGTGCATCCGCGGCAAGGCGCCCGATGCCCCCCACACTCAGGTCACGCTCGAGGATTCCGAGCGGAAGGCGCCGCTCATCAGCTACGACTTTGGGTTCTGCAAGACGGCTGATGAGGACGGGGACTTGACGAAGGTTGAGGACACCGACTCGACGATGCTCGTGGCGTTCAGCTCGGACGCTGGAGTAGTAAAGGTCATTCTATGCCCATCGAAGTCGGCATCACCGCACACGATTGCAGGCATCAAGCAGTTCGCGCAGCGGCTCGAGACGGGCAAGTGCAGACTCAGGACTGACCTGCAACGAAGGCGATCCTGGACGGGGTAGTCGCAGAGCTGACGGGCAAGGTCATTCCAGAGCTGACGCCCAAGCACAGCAGCCAGTCCAACCCAGCGGAGGCGGCGGTGAAGATCGCCGAGGGCCAGACGCGGGTCCTCAGGTTGGATCTTGAGAAGCGCTACGGCACCGGCGGCGATGCCAATCTGGGCCTGGATGATGCGTCACGCTGGTTGGCTACACGAACGGTACTCGCGACGAGCTGGAGGGCAAACCCCACGTGAGATAGCGACGGGCACGCCCTACAAGGGTGACATCTGCAACTTCGGCGAGACGGTGTTGCATCGAATAGCTCGGCCGAAGCATCGAGGACTTGGTGGAGGACGGCGGCTACACCGCGGGGAGGCGCAGTGGAGCCACGGGCTCTGGGTTGGCAGATCCGACGAGTCCCAGGAGCATCTGACGATGACGCCGCAGGGGGTCGAGCAGACAGACCGACAAGGATCTCCTGCTGTCGGCGACGGGCCTCCCCTGGGCGACGAGGACGGCGCCCGAGAGGTCGAGGCGACCACGGGCGGCCCCGCCCGCGGCGACAGAGATCCCTAGGGTGGACCAGCAGCAGCAGCAGCAGGCACAACCGCCGGCAGGGCCACCCGAAGGCCGAGCGGACCCTGCTCAACCCCATGCCCCACCGCAGGCCCCAGGCCCAGCGGCGGCGACAGGACAGCCACAGCCACAGCCGCAGCCCCAGCAGCGAGCGCAGCCAGCGCCTGGAGATGCCCCCACAGGCAGAGAGGCGCGGGCTGCCGCCTGAGGCGGAGGCCTCAGAGAGCAAGCGAGCGCGGGTTGCAGCGGTCCACGAGCTGGACGTCGGCAACATAGACGACTCGCCCGACGCGCTCTGGGAGGAGATCTCGGATGAGGTCGAGGACCCGACCGAGGTCACGTTCGACGTGGACGCGCAGGACGAGCTGGACAAGAAGCTCACGCTTGAGCACCTGCAGAGCCTCCTGGACCACGGCGTCGGCGAGGACATCCCCAAGTCGGAGGCAAGGGGAATGAAGCACATCACCACCCGCTGGGAGAAGCAGTGGAGGTGGAAGCCTGCGCGACAGGAGTGGCAGCGCACGGTGAGATTCGTCTGCCGCGAGTTCCGCTGGCAGGAGTGGCGCGACGACCTGTTCACGCCAGGATCGGCTCCGATCTCCAACAGGCTCATCGACTTCGCGGCCCTCAAGCGCGGCTTCGAGGTGATGACGCTAGACGCGACGGACGCCGTCTACCAGGCGCCCGAGCATGAGGACGTGGTGGTGGATCCACCGCAGGAGTACCTGGACAGGCTGCAGGCAGAGGGCAAGAGCACGGACATCTACTGGAAACTGAAGAGACAGCTGCCTGGCAGGCGCACGGCGGCGCCTGGCTGGGTGGAGCACATGGCGGGCATCCTCATGGACGAGATGCGCATGGCGAGGTGCGAGATGGCCCCGCAGTTCTTCTACAATTCGGAGACTGAGGTGGTGGTCCAGCTCCACATGGACGACCCGCACATGGCAGGACCACGGGACGCGCTGGAGGGCTTCCGCGACGAGATGGGCCAGCACGTGACCTTCAGCGGCGGTGATCTCCACGAGTACGGCACAACCTACGAGCACCTGAAGAGGCTGAGGACGCAGTTCGAGCACGGGACGGAGCTGAAGGCGAACCCGAAGTACCTGGATTACGCGGTGGAGACCCTCGGCCTCGGGAGCGCGAACACGGCGCCCACGCCAGGAGTGCCAGCTCACAAGGCGCTCATGGGGAGCACGTCTGCCCTATCTTCCGTTCAGGCTGGCATCTACCGATCGTGCGTGGGGGCGCTAATGTACTACGCCCAGGACAGGGCGGACTGCCAGTATGAGGTGAGCTTGCTAGGACGGATGCTGTCGGGCCCCACCGTCGGCGCCTTCACCGCACTCAAGAGGCTGGTCAGGTACCTGATGTGCACGAGGGACGCGGTGACCTGGCTTCCGAAGCCGACGGAAGGTACGAACGTGGAGCTGGTGGGCTACGGTGACAGCGACTGGGCAGGCGACCTTCAGACGAGGAGGTCACAGTCGAGCGGCAAGATCGAGATTGACAACGTTCTCATGCACTCCTTCAGCAGGCGCCAGGGGATCGTGGCGACCAGCTCGGGAGTGGCAGAGTACTACGCGGCGACGGCAGTCGCCGAGGATCTCCTTTACTTCAAGTCGCTTCTGGAGTTCATGGGCTTCACGGTGGCGACTACTCTTCTGACGGACTCGTCGGCGGCCCGAGGGATTGCCAAACGCGAGGGAGTTGGCAGGGTCAGGAGCCTGGAGGCACGCGTGCTCTGGCTCCAGCAGGCGATCAAGAGGAAGCTGATGGACCTTGGGACCGTCGGCACCGACGACAACAAGGCCGACCTGGGCACGAAGATCCTCGGGTACGAGCGTTTCGTCAAGCTCAGGACGATGAACGGCATCTACACGGACATGGGCCAGGTCGCGGAGAGCGACCACCAGTCGGAGGAGGTGGACTTCGACGTGGGGGCGGCGGCTCGGGTTCGGCGCGCCCCAGGCGTGGCCGCTTCACCGAGTGCGACCCGCTCAGCGGCCCTGGCGATGATCACGGCGGCGGTAGCGCTCCTTCATGGGTGCGAAGGACCTGCCACCGAGTACGACGGCTACTACGACACGGAGGTTTGCTCCAAGGGCGGCGTGGTCGCGAGCGACTGGACGAACTACTGGCTGGTGCTGGTCGTCTGGACGCTGGTCGTGGCCACCGTCTCCGGCTACGCGGGGTTCCGCTACGCCAGCTGGGTGGAGCAGGAGTGGCTCCTCGTCCAGACCGAGCCCGATGACGCGAAGGACAAGAAGATCGACTCAGGCATTGGCTGCATGTCATCCACGTCGACCAAGTCGACGGTGGATCAGAGCAACCGCATGAGGAGGACGGTTGGCACTCAA